AAATTTTTAGTAAAAGGGATTAGAGAAGAAAGGGAAGGATTATTTGAACCTTTCTTCTTCTTCCTCCTCTTTTCTCCATCTTCTTCTCTTGTACTGCTGCTCTTACTTTTCTTCCTCCTTTTTCTCTCTAATTTTCAAGTTTACACCTATTTTTGAGGACTGGTTTACATCTTGTACTTTTAGGTGTATAAATGTATTTGTCAAGGCGCCCATGGAGGGTCACCTTGTTTAATCCCCTAGCTATTTTGGACATGGCACTGTGAAATACTCTTGTATTCTTTATTTTTTCTAATTATAATAACAAAGTAGTCACTATTAAACTAAAATATCCATTTTGTAGGTTTATATATTAGTTTCTTCTTTGTTATGGCTGTTCCATATGGAGAGGTTTGGAAGGATTCCAAGAGAAGTTTCAGCGGGGTGTAGCTCTTAAGTTGGCTCTAGGACAGAGTTAGCTTTTGGAGATGAAAACTGGTGCGATGACAGAGCTCTAACAAACAGACTCCCAACTCCTTTTATGCTGGCAAATAGAGAAGCAAGGGTGGAAAATTTAAATGAAATTATTGGTGGCAAAGTCATCTGGAGTCCCTCTTTTAAGAGGAACTTAAATGATTGAGAAATAGAAGAGCTGGAATCCATGATTAGATTGTTGAACAACAATCTTCCACAACCAGGTGTGACATATGCAAGAAGATGGAGATGAGATGCTTCCGGCAGCTTTTCAGTTAAATCCCTTTATATGAAACTAAGTGAATATGAAGAGAAACAGAAAAGAAGTGTTACCCCATGCAATGCTAAAGCTATCAAATGACAAAAGTGCTGCCTTATTAAGGTTAATATGTAGAGAAACAGAAAAGAAGTGTTACCCCATGCAAGCTGGCTGATGCTGTAAAATGTCTCTCTTTCAACCAATTCATAATTGCTTTAGTTTCAGGTTGCCGTGAATTCAAATCATTGTTCATGGGAAAGAACTGTGAATTTCAAGTCAACCAATATTGCTCATTGATCTTTAGTCCAAGAGGGAAAAATCAATGGATAAGAAGATCAAATACATAGAGAGGAAGTAGGGGGAGGGGATTAAAGGTATTATTTCAACCACTGGTGCATAAAATGATACTGACTTGGTCTGGGAAATCCCGGTTTAGGTCAATATTGTTTGCATTACCACGTCTCCTAAGTGAAAACCCATCAGGGTTCATTGTTGGAAGTATATGGAGGTGAACATCTCTTATGATCAATGTTGCCTGTAAGAACCAAAACCAAAATTAAAATGATAGCAGTGCTACAAAAAGAAAGAAAGAAAAAGGTAAAAAGAACATCTCCATAAAACAAATAAATTACATCTCAAGGTCACATTCCAGTTGGTATACTAAAGAAGTTTTAATAGGTTATATGATTCCCAGAAGAAATTACATCAAACCCTACTAGATCAACTGTACATGAACTGAAACGAACTTATGCAAATAATGATAATAATAACAAAACATATGCATCTAACCAACCTCAAGTCTTTTATAAAATAGGCAACAAGAAAGACATCTTAATAGGAGCAACAACATGAATTATGAAGGAATTAAAACTACAAGTCAAAAAGTTCAATAGTTCATTAAGTTTGTTCAAGTACAAAGTAATGGAGAAGGTTTGCCAGTAAGGAAATGGGTAGTACCAAGGGATCCTTCATGTAGTTATCACATAACCAATTTGCTAAAAGTAACAGTAGCTCCCGGCCAACAGGTTCATCTCCATGCACATTTCCAATGAACTACAATATAAAGCAAATTGATTTCCGTCATGAACTTTCAAGAACCATAAATTATCAAAGGAAAGAGTTGTCAAAATAACTTGATCTGCAAAGAGAGAACATCCAAACAAGTTATTGCATAGATGTATTTGAACCATAAAAGGAAAAGCTGCAATTTTAATGGATCTATTGATGGATAGCCTCTTCAGCAAAACAAAGTATACGTCTGTTTGGGAATTGATAGCCTCTTTTCTTCAATATGTCCTGTGTAAGAATTCAGCCTCTAGAAATCAGCCATGCGAAAGCTTTGATTCTTAGGGGGACAGGTCTCCTCCATACTCCTTTAATTACATCAGCCTCTACCTGGGACCTCATTAAAGCAGTATACATGGATTTGACAGTAAATCTCTCATCTTTACATTTTTCCACCATTTGATATCAGCAGCCAAAGGATCAATTTCCAGTTCCTGAAGCTTGGACAACAGCTCCACACATTCTTCCACCTCCCAATCTAATAAAGGTCTTCTAAATTTTGGACACCAGACTACAGCACCATTATTAACCTCATAGTAGTTAGAAATAGATACTTCCTTCTCACACAAATTGTACAATCTTCTAAAAACAGAAGAACAACTGCCACACTCTAAAGTGAAAGTGACCCCTGAACAAAAAAATAACTTACAACACTGCCCAAAACAAAACCTCCCGATTCACCCCTTGCTTTGCTAGGTTGTCAGCTAAAGCATTTGCTGACCTCCTAGACCAATAAACTTGTGCACCCAGCTCCCTTGTGAGGCTCAATAATTCCCTTACAGGTTGTGTAAGGGACCACGTTCCCAAACTATTTGATTGCAGCCAACCTACTACTAATTTTGAATCTCCCTCCACTTCTAACTGTTGAAAGCCCAATTGCTTGGCCAATCTGAGCCCCTAGAGGAGAGCCAACACTTCAGCTCTAAGCGAGTTCCCTAAACCTACTGGACCAGAATACATAGCTAGGATTTTTCCTTCCGCATCTCTAAACACACCCCCTATTCCAAAAGGTCTAGGGTTCCTAAGAGAGCTGCCATCAAAGTTCAGTTTGACATTACACTGCAAAGAAGGGGACCAAAATGCTTGTATGGTAGGTGATGAAGTAGAAGATCTTGCTAAAATACTCCAGCCTCTAATCAAATCATCTATGAAGACATCCTTGAAAAGTCAAGAGTTTTCAGCCAATGTACTGCCTTGATGGTGATCCCTTCAATAACTTCAGGAGCTGACTTTTCTTTCCCTTGGAAAATCCTATTATTCCTCTCTTCCCACACTGCCCACAAGATAGCTGCCCTCGTTGTTCTCCACATCACCCTTCCTTTCTTCTTTGGTTGTCAGAAAAAGCTAGGGTCAAATAATTCCGCTACGCTTGTGGGGGGAGTCCACCTACAATCAAAGAGAGAGGAGAACCAATCCCAAATAAGAGCACTAAAAGGACAAGAAATTAATAGGTGATTCACCATCTCACCATTCCTCAAGCAAAGGCTACAGACATGAGGGGACAAACACCAATTTGGTCTCTTTCTTTGAAGCACTTCCAAGGTATTGATTTTTTTTTTGAGAATCACTTCCCAACAAAAAGACCTTACTTTTGGGAGTACTAGAGCGCTCCATACTTCTTTAATAGGAAAGGAGGTAACTGGGTTAAGAGGAAGGACCATAGCATTGAAAAACGAAGAACAAGAAAAACTACCTATAGAAGTTTCAGTCCAAATTCTACTGTCAGGAGAAGAGTGGCCTAGAAAAAGTGAGCTTAGAAGAGAAAAAAGATCATCTACCAAACCCACTTCTGAGTCCCTCAAACCTCTCCTTAGTCCTAGATCCCAAGAATCCTAGAAACACAAAAAGAAGAGATAAATTGAAATTTTTTCCCCAATCCACAAGTCCTCCCAAAAAAGAATCTACGCAAGCATCATACCTGATGAAGGAAAGAAGACAGGCAAGATACCAACAATATCTTTCCACAAGGAAAAGCGTGAAGCCCTTGGGTCAAGTCCAGTGTCCCATCCATTTGCCGCCATTCCATGAATATTTCTTATAACCTTATGCCATAAACTCTCTTGCTCCTTAGGAAACCTCCATAACCATTTGCCTAACAAAGTTATGCTTCTTATTCTAACATTTCCAATCTTTAAGCCCCCTTTGTCTTTCTTTCTAGACACCACTTCCCATTTTACCCTATGATCCTTTTTAGTATCTCCAGGATCCCACAGAAAATCTCTCATTATTTTTTCCACCTGGTTTGCAATCTTAACAGACAATTTGAAGGAAGACAAAAAATACACTGGCAAATTTACTAGTGTTGACTTAATTAAAGTGATTATACCCCCTAAAGAGATGTAGTTCCTTTTCCAACCCACTAGTCTCTTTGAGAATCTTTCCAAAATTGGGTACCAAAAGCTATCTGACCTCGGGTTTCCTCCCAAAGGTAAGCCTAAATACTTAAGAGGCCAATCACTTACCTCACAACCTAGAGATCTAGACAAAGATGCCACCTCTGCTTCTTGCCTATTAATTCCAGCTACACAACTTTTATTTCAATTTACTCTTAAGTTGGAGACCTTTCCAAAATTCCCTACCAAGACCTTTAAATTTTCCAACTCCTTCGGGTCTCCTTCACAAAAAAAGAATTAAGTCATCAACAAATTAAAGGTGGATTACAACTATTTCCTCCCTCCCTATTCTCCACCTTCTAAGCAAATTTCTAGCATCGGCTCTAGTAATCTGGACACTCAACACATCAACTATCAAGCTGAAAAGGAAAGGAGAAAGAGGGTCCCCTTGTCTTAATCCTCTCTTTATCGGGAAGAAATCCTTCGCTACCCCATTAACTAGAATGGAGTAGTGCCATGAAGAGATACAACGCTTAACCCACATGCACCACCTCTCTCCAAATCCTCTAATTCTCAATACTTCTAGTGGAAAACCCCAATCCACCAAATCATAAGCCTTCACTAAGTCCAATTTGCAAATCAAGCCCTTTTCTCCTTGTCTTTTTCTGTAATCCACACATTCATTGGCAATAGGGATCTGATCAATAATTTGTCTTCCTGACAGAAATGCCCCTTGGTTCGGAGAAATCAAGGATGGTAGTACCTTTTTGATTCTTTCTACCAAGACCTTTGAGATTACCTTATACATACTACCAATTAGGCTTATGGGCCTAAAATCCTTTGGGTGGTTTGCATTTACCTTTTCAGGAATCAGAGCAATGAAAGTAGCATTGGCATCCGAATTTATCTTACCTCTCTTAAAGAATTCCAAGAAGACCTCCATTAAATCACCACCTATAATATCCTAGCAATTTTGGTAAAAGACCATCATGAAACCATCTGAGTTTGGGGCTTTAGATCTTTCCATTGAAAAAATAGCATCTTTTACTTCTTGGACCTCAAAATTCTTTTCTAGCTGATCCATCAAAACTCTATTCCCTGGAAGCCAATCAAGGTCAGGAATTTCTTCTCTCTCTCTTCTTGGGCTGTCATAAATGGATTTGAAATGCTCCACAAAAGATCTTGCTATCTCCTCACATGTAATCACTTCCCCATTCCATTTCAGCCTCCCCATTCTTCCTCTTCCTTCCATTTGCTAAGGTATGAAAAAATTTAGTAGTCTTGTCTCCCTCCTTCAGACACTTACACCTAGATTTTTGTCTCAAACTTATCCTCTTTCCTAACGATTTCCTGCAACTCTTGTTTCAGCTTCCAACGCTCTTCCCTCTCTCCTACTATCAATCTCCTCTCTGCCTCACCTCCATCAATTTCTTGAATCCTATTGGCAACCCACTCTTTTCTTTCTTCCACTCTTCCAAATTCCTCCTTATTCCAGGCTTTGATTCTAGCTTTCAAGGCATGTAGCTTTTTATAAAAATTGTACTCTTTCCACCTAAATTCCACTTGGTCTTCTTCCCACCACAATTGAACCTTTTTTATAAAATCAGGATGAAGCAACCACATGTTCTCAAACCGGAAAGGGCATGGCCCCCCTCCTAAGTTTTCTTGGGATAACCTAACTGGAAAATGATCTGAGGTAGGTCTAGGGAGAGCCCTTATTGCCAGTCCCCTCCACGTAAATTTGAAATCTAAAGAGAATAAAGAATCTATCTAGTTTACAACAAAAGGGTTCTTGGAAATTGGACCAAGTGAGGTTTGGTTGCAACATGGGTAGCTCTCTCAATTCATATGAGTCCACAAATAGGTTGAACTTTCTCATGCTGGAGGTGACCCTATGGTTTGGATTGGTAGTTTCACTTAGGAATCTTATGACATTGAAATCATCCCCCAAACACCACGGTCCATTCCAAAGACCCCTACTGGCTGCAAGCTCCTCCCAAAAATCATCCCTCTCCCTATACGAGTTAGGTCCATAGACATTGGTTAAGGCCCACTCAAAACCATTCTCTTTCCTTCTCAATTTGATTGTTACTGTAAAATTGCCAATTAGTTCTTCAGTACAGTCCATCTCTTCATTCTTCCATATTATAATGATGCCCCCTGATGCTCCCCATGATTGTGTAAACGCCCAGTTTAACCCTCTAGCTGACCATACACTCCTCACCCATCTTCTATCCACCTCTATCAGCTTTGACTCTTGAATTAAGACAATGGTCGGCTTCTCTTTCCTAAGGACTTCCCTATTTACACTTCTTTTTCTTGAACTCCCCAATTCACATTCCAATTGATTATCTTCATGGAAAAATAAGCAAAAAGGCCCAAAGACTCAGCTTAATTTAACCCAGCTTTCTCTCCTTCCTTACTGTGCCTCCTCTTTCATAATCCACACCACCCCTAAATCTTTTGACTTCACTCATCTTTTTTTTTCTTCTTTAATTCTCTCCCTCCCCTTTGTTTGGAGCTTTTATCTGAGTTACTTCTTGTCCTTTTTTCTAATCCTTGCTAAATTTGTTAATTGCCTTTTTAGTTCTAGCACCACTCTTATTAATCTCCCTCTCTTTCTCCTTAGAAGTAGTCCCAATAAGTTCAGCCCCC